TTCTCAGCTTACATTTTCATCGCCTGAAGTGCAGTATGTGTCTTCCGCAGTTGTGGTTCGCTGTCACCAGAGGGCGCACTTTACCAACTATTCCTTCTCCGTCCTTTCTTTTTCCGGTGATGGGGAACGCAGCTAATGGGAGCATCTATACAATTACACCTGTGTAGGGAGACGTTGACAGCTATGTGTGGGGGTCAATGCTGTAAGATGTGGACTCCCTCCAGGCAGACTGAAGGTGTAAATAGGTGAATGAACCCTATTTCTTACAGCTATGAGAATCTCCGCCGTGTCTTGAATTTAGGGAAGCTTTTAATGTTTGATGCATTACTGTATTTTAAGAAGCCGCCCAGAGTGGCTGGGGAAGCCCAGTCAGATGGGTGAGGTATAAATTATTATTATTATTGAATTCTCCAGAGGCGCACGGACCCTGGAACCCCCTGGGCTCTTTCCACTGCTCGGTGGAGAGAGGGCGAGGCACCCAATTTTTGTAACTTTTAAAATTTTCCTTCTGATTCTGTGATTCTAATTTTTGTTGGTTGGGGGGGGGAAGAGTGAGCTGTCCTTGTTTTTTTAAATCAGCTCTTTTCTGCTTTGAGAAGTGGTGTGTCCACCCCCCCTTTCAATTCCCAAACAGCTTTCCCTGACCAAACGGTGGTAGTGATGGCAGCAGCCGAGGAGTGCTTTGCAGAAGGAACTTGTCGACCCGAGACGTTTCGCAAAGGCCTGTTGGATTTCTGCATGCTTTCCTCCCTGCCACAGTTGACGTCATGCAGGCCCGATTTTCTCAGGCTGCTTGGCCGTGGACTTTAACCTCTCAACATCTCACCTTCAAAGCTAGGCCTTCCGGTCTCCTGAGGCCATGGAGGTACTTGGATTGGCTCTTGCTTTTTGGTAAGATCTCCCTGTTGGCTTTGAGGGCTGCGTGTTTATTAAGATGGGGGCAAGACTTTTTGTCTGCGGAAGGGCAGGAGATTACATACTTAGCAGACTGCGCCATCATCTGTAGCTTTGGGGGGAAATGGGGTTGGGAATGGATTCAGAAAAAAATTAATGCAGGCAGTATAGAAAAAACCCCAAAGTACATGAAAGCAATCTCTCTCCTCATCTTCTCCAGGAGTTCAAAGCGCACTCTTATTTATTATGTATTTAGCAAGGCAGGGACTGCGTACACAATGTCTATCTTAAAACAGCTTGGTTATTCTTTTTCTCAATCAGATGGAAACTGGTTTTGGGGAGGGGGGGAGGAACCGTCAAAAGGCAGTGTGTCATATGAAGCAACAGGCTGGATACAGGATAGATCTGGATTGTGGCGAGTATCTTATGTGCACTGCTTATGAAACCAGTTGCAGAAGAGCACTGGATGCAGATTAAATGGGAATGTGTACGCAGCCAGCGTGAGATTCCCTTTCTCTTCTCGCCCCCCATCTAGCACCAGAACTAGTTCAATAGGCTGGGTGTGATTGTTTTCTGTCCACTTCTGATTGTATTTATTTTAGCTGATTCATCACACTTACCATATTTTTCGCTCTATAAGACGCACCAGACCATAAGACGCACCTAGTTTTTGGAGGAGGAAAACAAGAAAAAAAATATTCTGAATCCCAGAAGCCAGAACAGCAAGAGGGATCAATGCGCAGTGAAAGCAGCGATCCCTCTTGTTCTGGCTTCAGTGAAAGCAATGCAAATCCTCTTCAGGGCAGGGGGAGCGTTCCTCCAGTTGCCCTGAGGAGGCTTCTCGCAGCTATCCCAGAAGCCAGAACAGCAAGAGGGATCGCTGCGCAGTGAAAGCAGCAATCCCTCTTGCTGTTCTGGCTTCTGGGATAGCTGCGCAGCCTGCATTCGCTCCATAAGACGCGCACACATTGCTCCTTACTTTTTGGGAGGGAAAAAGTATGTCTTATAGAGCGAAAAATACGGTATATCCCATCTTTCCTCCAGGGACCTCAAGGTAGCATATATATAGCAGAGCCTCCAAGTGTCCTCATTTTTCAGGGTCAGTCCCGGATTTACAGAAGCCATCCCAGTTTCCGATTTGATCCCGGAATGTCCCGCTTTTCCTTAGGATGTCCCTATTTTCATCGGAGAAATGTTGGTGGGTACGGAGTTATGCAATCCTTCAGCCAAGGAGATAAGTAACTATACAACCTTTAGAAGATGTCTGAAGGCAGCTCTGCATAGGTAAGTTTTTTTAATGTTTAATGTTTTATTATGTTTTCATATGAGTTGGAAGCTGCCCAGAATGGCTTGAATACCTTCTGTAAAACAGTTCCCTCACTAAACTGAGAGGGCACCTTACTGGAAGTTTGAGTTCAGTGTTGGAGGAATTTGTACAGAATTTTTTATATATATATATATATACACACACACACACACACACACACACACACACATATATATACACACACATATATATACAGTGGTACCTCGGGTTACATACGCTTCAGGTTACATACGCTTCAGGTTACAGACACCGCTAACCCAGAAATATTACCTCAGGTTAAGAATTTTGCTTCAGGATGAGAACAGAAATCGTGCAGCAGCGGAGCGGCGGCAGCAGGAGGCCCCATAACTAAAGTGGTGCTTCAGGTTAAGAACAGTTTCAGGTTAAGAACAGACCCCCAGAACGAATTCAGTTCTTAACCTGAGGTACCACTGTATATATAAAATGCCCTGGTTGGAGTCCAACAACATATGCAGAGCCACAAGTCTCCAACTTTGGCTGTGCACATGCCAAACCTTTAAATCACATGGCGCCCCCCCACCAAATAATCCTGTGAGCTGTGGTTTACCCCCACAGAGCTGCAATTCCCAGCAAGCTTAAGAAACCACAGCTCCCAGGATTTTGGGGGACAACCGTGGGCTTTAAATGTATCGCGTGGCTGTGACCATTGGCTGCATACATGGCATACATTTAAAGCACCCCCCTCAAGGATTCTGGGAACTGTAGTTAAGGGTTCTGGGCATTGTCTTACTTAAGGCCTCTGTGATGGGTAAACTAGAGTTCCCAGGGCTCGTTGGTAGAAAGGGAATGCGCTTTAAACATATGGTGTGTATTCAGTCTTTGTGGTTTGAAAAAAACAAACCTCACCTCTCCCCCTCTCTTTAAAATAAAGAAGATGAAAAAAACCTTGTGTGGTACCTTACCAACGAACAGATTTATTATGAGATAATCCTTTACGGCATAAGCCACAATAAATCTGTTACTCTTTATGATGCTTCGAGGCTTGGTTTATAGTATGTGCTTTTTGCTGCAGACTAATGCAGCTAGCCCTCTGGAAATTGTCACAATGGACAACGGAGAGCAGGTGGGAAATATCGTCCTGGCATCTGGTTGTATTAGCAGCTGCTGAGGTCTGGATGGAAAAATATCCCTATATTCCCTGCATCAAGTGCAGGGATGCTTCGTTCCGTGTTGTAATACAGGGGCGAGCAACCTTTCCCCATCGAAGACTGAATTCCCTTGCAGGGGGAATTGTGTGTGTGTGTGTGTGTGTGTGTCCCAGACACAAGTGAGCAGGTCTAGTTGAGCAACACTGCTAGCCAAAGGGTTTGTATTTATTTTGATTTATAGTATATTCAATACCTCAAGGGCCGCCTCTTTCCATATGAACTGACCCAGACTCTGAGATCATCTTATGAGGCCCTCTTTCGTGTGCCTCCTCCTCGAGAGGTCCGGAAGGTGGCAACACGAGAACGGGGCCTTCTCTGTAGTGGCTCCCCCTCTGTGGAATGCTCTCCCCAGGGAAGTTCGCCTGGCGCCTTCATTATACACTTTTAGGTGCCAGGCAAAAGCGTTCCTTTTTAACCAGGCCTTCAGTTGACCTGATCAACACCATATACCCTTTAAAATGTGGCTCTTTCTTGGGGGGGGGGGCGTGTTATTTGATTATTGTTTTTATTTTGATTTTACATATTGTGATCTTTTCTGTGAACTGCCCTGAGACCTCCGGGTACAGGGCGGTATATAATTTCAATAAATGAAGAACGGGAAACTAAGAAAAAAAGAAAAGAAAAAGGGGGCGTCTTTACCTTTAGAGATTTCACCTAGAGGTAAAGTTAAAAAAGCAAAATCTGGGGTTCATCCGTTGGAAATAGCATCCTGGTGGAATTTCCGAAAAGCAGTACAGAATTTCCCTCCTGAGAAAGGGCAGGTAATCAATTTAATGATGATGTGGATGATATTGTTATATATTTGGGGGGGGGTTGATTAAGAAACAACAGAGGGCTACTGGCAATACAGTGGTACCTCGGGTTAAGTACTTAATTCGTTCCGGAGGTCCGTTCTTAACCTGAAACTGTTCTTAACCTGAAGCACCACTTTAGCTAATGGGGCCTCCTGCTGCCGCCGCGCCGCCGGAGCACAATTTCTGTTCTCATCCTGAAGCGAAGTTCTTAACCTGAAGCACTATTTCTGGGTTAGCAGAGTCTGTAACCTGAAGCGTATGTAACCCGAGGTACCACGGTACAGGCGAACTGTCCTCCCCACTTGCCCTGGGATGTGAACAGAGACAGGGAGTTTGTAAGGCTGATAGCGTAACTGGGTGACAAGAAAAGGGAGTATTTTAGCAGGGCATTCTGGGAAGAAGAAAGGCTGGGATCCATCTTCTGCAGGCTAGCTGGGAGAGATACCTGGAACCCCACAGCTGCACTGCTGTGGGGCACAAGCCCCTCTTGAAACAACCATGTTGTAAGACCTGGACTCCCTTCACGCAGACTGAAGGTGTAAATAAGTGAATAAATCATATTTCTTAAAGCTACGACAGTCTCTGCCGTGTCTCAATTCTCCAAAGGAACACAGACCCCAGGTGAGTGCCTGGAACCCCCAGGGCTTTTGCCACCACTTGGCAGAGAGAGGGGGAGACACCCAACTTTTGTAACAATATTTTAGATAAAGACATGCTTTTGCTTTGTAAAGTGCGCAGTCGCCTCTCGCCCTCACTTCAACCGCTCATTTTCGTTAGCCTCCCCCATTCTCCCTTTTCCGTTCCACCACCAAAATGCACACTCGGGCAAGAAGACCTTTATTTAGGAGGACCAACCACAAAATAGGGAGCGAGCTTTCAAGTTCTCCAGAAACCCTTCATTGGGAGAGATGCTACGCAAAGCAGTCAAATGAGCAGGGAAAGAGAAGAAGAGGAGACGTATTATTGGCTTAGCCCCAAGTTTTCTGCACTTAGATTCAGTCTTAAGATGGCAAACTTAGTTGGATTAACCTTTTCTAGGTGTTGCAAGAGACAAAGAGGCAATGGGAGAACCACCCGGTTTTTGCTAATTCTAAAACCAGCCGTTACCCTGTCTCCGGCCTTAAAAGCGAAACCCACTGTCTCTGTCTAAGGCAGAGAATTGAGTAGCTGGAGAGGAGAATGGCAGTCTTCCTATGATCAAAGCTGGAGATTTATTTCAGGTGATAAAGTCAAGTGAAGCTAAATTTGGTAGCGTTACCTAATGGCTGGAGGGCACGTGGTCCTCGACAAGTCCCCCTTGAGGTGGTAGAAAAACCATCTTCATTCCACTGTAGCTCTTGTTTCTAAACAGCTAGATTCAATAATCTTCAAGGCACATAAAAACAAAGGAAGCCATGTTGGTCTGTAATAATCCCCCCCCTTTAGATTGTTCTGTGCTTTTCGACATACACCTGTGGATCATGTTCATTTAATCCCTGTGTGTACAATGGCTGCACGTATCAGCTAAAGCGAGATGTGTGTCTGTCAGAGGCGGGGCCTTATCGGTGGTGGTGCCTCACGCAGCACAGCAGCAGTTCTCTGTGGGTTCCTGAGAGGCTCCCGAGGGGTGTGGCTGGTGCGTAGCTTCTTTAAAAAGCCCACAAAGCAGGCCCTTTTGTGTAGCTTCATAGGTGTTCAAGGACACGCTGCAGTTGCTTGAGAGAGCAGCCCTCTGTACATACTCAGAGGTACTCTTGTTATAGAACAATTGCTTCTTTAAAGGGGCAAGTCAGAGGAAATGGTACTAAATAGGCATGCTTTAGAAAGGAAAAGAAAACAGAAGACCCAACAGTATCTTCAAGAGATTTTTTCTTCTTACTTACACTGCCATGTAAGCAACCTACCCCCGTTACATAACTACAATGGGTTGTGGGTTGAAGCGCTCTCTGTGTGTTTTTTTTTAAAAAAAATTCTCGTTTAAATCGGACTGCCATTGCTAGTGCATGGGCATAGCTCAGGGGGTCTTCACAGTAGTAACCCGAGAAATCCAGGAGTTTTAAATGAAAACTGCGGCTCATTTAGGCTTCTCCTCCCTTTTAGGACAGGTGTCCCGAATTCATTTTCCGCAGCTTTGCAGGCAAATTCTCATGATCTAAAGTCGCTCCCAAGGTGAGCAAGGTTTGAGGCCTTTGCTGGAGTTCGAGGTTGCCAGTGGAGCGAGCCAGCAGCTCCGATTTGGTTTTGAAGGCTGCCAACATCAGCTTCTCGCCCCCGTCTTCGGTGCCGCAGACGGAGGTGATCTGCTGGATTTTGAGCAGATCTCCCGTGCTACATGCTTTCTCCACGTTGCTGGAGCAGAGGCTGAGGACCCCTCTGTGGAGCTCCCGTTTCCCAGAGCAGATTTTCTGGAATTTGCTGGGGAGCCTGTTGCCTTTTTCTTCGAAAAAATCGAGGCAATCGAGGGAGGAGATCTTTTCCCTCCGGCTTCTGTTGCTCCCTGTCGGCGTGTTCAAAGGCGAAGGGAGAGAGAGGTTTTCTTCCTGCTCTTTCACGCTGTAGGGGGGAGTGGGGACTTCAAAGGTTCCGTGGAACTGAGAGTAATCCACGCGGAAGAAACCATCTTCCAGCGACATCACAGGGAGGAACCGGTGGCCCCAGAGAACTTCATCTTCTGTGTAGGAGGTCCTGGCTTGGCAAGTCATCCCTAAGAGACCAAGAGAATAATAACAATAATTATTATTTATTATTTATACCCCGCCCATCTGGCTGAGTTTCCCCAGCCACTCTGGGCGGCTCCCAATCAAGTGTTAAAAACAGTACAGCATTAAATATTAAAAACTTCCCTGAATAGGGCTGCCTTCAGATGTCTTTTAAAGATAGGATAGCTGCTTATTTCCTTGACATCTGAAGGGAGGGCGTTCCACAGGGCGGGTGCCACTACCGAGAAGGCCCTCTGTCTGGTTCCCTGTAACCTCACAATGAGGGAACCGCCAGAAGGCCCTTGGCGCTGGACCTCAGTGTCCGGGCTGAATGATCGGGGTGGAGACTCTCCTTCAGGTATACAGGACCGAGGCTGTTTAGGGCTTTAAAGGTCAGCACCAACACTTTGAATTGTGCTCGGAAACGTACTTGGAGCCAATGCAGATCTCTCAGGACCAGTGTTATGTGGTCCTGGCGGCCACTCCCAGTCACCAGTCTAGCTGCCGCATTCTGGATTAAGTGCAGTTTCCGGGTCACCTTCGAAGGTAGCCCCACGTAGAGCGCATTGCAGTAGTCCAAGCGGGAGCATAACCAGAGCATGCACCACTCTGGTGAGACAGTCCACGGGCAGGGAGGGTCTCAGCCTGCGTACCAGGAGGAGCTGGTAGACAGCCGCCCTGGACACAGAATTTACCTGCGCCTCTATGGACAGCTGTGAGTCCAAAATGACTCCCAGGCTGCGCACCTAGTCCTTCAGGGGCACAGTTACCCCATTCAGGACCAGGGAATCCCCCACACCCTCCCGCCCCCTGTCCCCCCAAAACAGTACTTCTGTCTTGTCAGAATTCAACCTCAATGCATAGACAGGATCAGTGTGGCTTGATTTTCAAAGTATGGTGCCATGGGAAAATGCTATTTCCCCAGATCTCCAGCCCACCCCTGTGCTGGACAGCTCCTTTAATTCTTCCTACCTGAAGCATCTAGAGATAATAATAATAATAATAATAATAATAATAATAATTTTTTATTTATACCCCGCCCTCCCTGGCCAGAGCAGGGCTCAGGATGGCTAACACCAATAAAATCACACTAAAAACATAATAGGGGAAAAAGAGAGGGGGGAAAACCCCCCAATTTAAAACACAGGTAAAATACAATTTAAAATGCAGCCTCATTTTAAAGTAGCTGATAAATCAAGCCCATAAGGGGAGGGAACCATAAGGGTCAGACCGAGTCCAAACCAAAGGCCAGGCGGAACAGCTCTGTCTTGCAGGCCCTGTGGAAAGATGTCAAGTCCCGCAGGGCCCTAGTCTCTTGTGACAGAGCGTTCCACCACGTTGGGGCCAATGCTGAAAAGGCCCTGGCCCTAGTTGAAACCAATCTAACCTCCTTGAGGCTCGGGACCTCCAAAGTGCTGTTCTTTGTGGACCTTAAGGTCCTCCATGGGACATACCAGGAGGGGTGGTCCCGTGGGTATGTGGGTCCTAGGCTGCATAGGGCTTTGAAGGTCAAAACCAGCACCTTAAACCTGAGCCTGTACTCCACCGGGAGCCAGTGCAGTTGGTAAAGCACTGGATGAATGCGATCCCGCGGCAAGGACCCTGTAAGGAGCCTCACTGTGGCATTCTGCACCCGCTGGAGTTTCTGGGACACCTTCAAGGGCAGCCCCGCATAGAGCGAGTTACAATAATCAAGCTTGGAGGTGACCGTCGCATGGATCACTGGGGCCAGATCAGGGCGAGAAAGATAAGGAACCAACTGCTTAATACGGCGATGGAAAAATGCCACCTTTGCTGTGGCTGCAGCCTGCACCTCCATGGAAAGGGAGGCGTCAATGAATTTCTTGAACCCCCCCCCCAACCTCCAATTTTTGGGGTCTTGGGCATGGAGCCTGCCCTCGCAACCAAGAAGAGTTGGGGCAAGCAAACTGCAAACTCTCGCACGTTGTCCTTTGTTACCTGGGCAGGTAAGGTCACACCCACCTCTAGTCACATGCAAAGGAAGTATGTCCCAGCCAGGAGGAAACAGGAAGTTTTCAACTGGCTGGACCAAACATTCCCCTGCATGTCCACTCTAGGAAAACAAGGAATGTTGTATTTGACTGCTACTTATGTATCATATCCCACACCCCTTCCTTCCTAGGGTCAGCTAAACCCATGTGCGAATGCCACTCTTACAAGGGGCATTTGGGCAGCCGCAGCATCCTACCCTCCTATTCTTCCCCACCCTGCCCCATGTCCCTATCCTGTCTCTCTGCAACTATGTTACACAAATCCATGAGCTACCTGCTCCATCATTCATCTCCCCTGCTATTAGAGAAGACCCGGTTAATTTGAGCTACTCGGGGAGACACAGCCCGAAGATGAGTCTGCTCTAATATCCGATGGCAACAAATGACAGTGAGTGATTGATGATCTAGGACTGCAGGAATTCTTGGGGAAGGGAAAAGACGTGTCTCTCCTGTCGTTTGAGATTAGCATTGGCAGTAAAAATCTGGCTATTAGTGTGTCCCATCCTATATTAAACATTCACCGCATTATTAAAGAATAAATATACATATTAGGGACAAATGCCCTGATCTGGAGAATGGAGTTTGCATATGTGGATCTACCACACTGGGTGTGCATCAGCTTGTTGTGTGTGTGTGTGCAAAATTGCACCCAGCAACTTGAAAATAACTGCATCAATGTATGTAGTTCTCCATTCTGATCCCAGCATAGAAAACTATGCGCCAGTTTGTGCTGCTGGCGTTATCCATTGGTACGACAGTTTGCAAAGCAGCCGTCTGTCTCTTCTGTGATTCTCAGGATTGGCGTTATAAAGCCATGCTTAGCTTTGCCTGAGCAATTGCCCAAAGGCCCTTTCTGCTCGAAAAAGACAAAGTCCCTTCTGAGCTGTGCGTACGCCGAGATGAAAAATAATTATAACTACAACATTAACAACATTAATAAATTCCGCACCCAGGCAACCCTAATCCTGTGACAAGAAAAGCTCTGTGGGGTGATCTGTATAAATCATGCAAATCAAACCTATTTTAGTATCTCCTCTTACTTTGCTTAATGCCTGCTCTTATATTGTACGCTTATCTGTTTTGTGTATAGGCCGCTTCCTACGAAGCATCTTGAATTCATGATACAATTAAAACATACATAAAACAATCGCATTGCATATTTAGGGGGGAAAACAATACCACACAACTTCAAACCCAATACAGATTCCGACTGTTATAAAAATATCTGCTTGGAATGCTTCTTGAAAAAGGAAAGCATTTAACAGATGTCAAAAATACAAAAGAAACAGCATAACATAGCAGTTTTATTTTAGATGGTGTGTTGTTTTGTTTTGCACAGTGCATAACCATCTTCCATAATTTAGACTGCAATCTTGTACGCCAGGTGTGAGGAACCTCTAGCCCCCCCAGATGTCGCTGAACTACAATTCCCATCACCCCTGGCCATTGGCCATGCTTGTGGGGGCTGATGGGAGTTGTAGTTCAGCAACAGTGGGAGGACTGGAGGTTCCCCACACCTGCTATACATACTCACTTGGGAGTAAGCCTTCTTGAACTCCATGGGACTTATTTCTGAGTGCACAGGATTGCACCATTATACTGAATTGTGGATAAGGAGGACGAGGAGCTATGAATCTTGTTTAGCCACCGCCCTGGCTTCTGATTCCAGTCAGGCATTGCCTACATGCTTTCAGGTGTGCCTTCATACCCTGAGTGTTCGAAATTTGCTTTAAAAGAAAAGAAACAAAACTGTGATTCTCAGGTAGTGAAATTCTGAGCCCCAAACCATGCTCTGTGCGGAACTGCAATGTTCACAGTCTGTCTTAAGTCCCACTGTAGCGTTAGCAGAAAAAGCTTCCTTCTAAAAGCTGCCTTAAGCAGCTATGGTTGGAACTACTGGGCTGGACTCAAAGGTAGCCCAGTGCTAGATTTACTTATAAGCTAAACAAGCTATAGCTTAGGGCCCCACTCTCTTGGAGGCCCCCCAAAAAATTTAAAAGAAAAAAAAGGCTGTACATTTCCAAAATATAAGACAAAACAACGAATTAAATAAAACCTACATACGGCAACAGTGTTTTGTTTTGGGTTGTGTAGGCTCCTATGATGTAAATCATGGGCCCTGCCTGCTAACCTGCTCCCTAAAATATCACTGGTTTGCTCATTTCTATATATAGGGTGCCTACATTCTGCACATGCAAATGGCTTTAGATACCTATTAGGTCCATAAATTACCATATAGCATATATTCAACACAAAAAACAGTGATGATTTGTTGTTGACAAAGGACAGCTAGACATATAAAGGGCCCCATTACCTTCAGTAACTTAAAGATAAAGGTACCCCTGCCCGTACGGGCCAGTCGTGTCCGACTCTAGGATTATGCGCCCATCTCACTTAAGAGGCCGGGGGCCAGCGCTGTCCGGAGACACTTCCGGGTCATGTGGCCAGCATGACTAAGCCGCTTCTGGCGAACCAGAGCAGCACACGGAAACGCCGTTTACCTTCCCGCTATAAAGCGGTACCTATTTATCTACTTGCACTTAGGGGTGCTTTCGAACTGCTAGGTGGGCAGGAGCTGGGACCAAAGACGGGAGCTCACCCACCACGGGGATTCGAACCGCCGACCATACGATCGGCAAGTCCTAGGCACTGAGGTTTTACCCACAGCGCCACCCGCGTCCCTGAGGTAGCCCCACTGAAATCCATGGGACAAGTTAGTCATGGCACCGATTTCAGTGGGACTAGCTAACATCTCTGCCTTCACGAGACAGGAAGGGCAGCATATGGCTTTACAAAGGGGGACGAGAGAGTGAGCGAATCAGAGCTAAGTTTGCACAGTTCATCCATCAGTTCTGTTTCCTATGGAGGTAACAAATCACCTGCTGTTCCATCTGGTGACAGTCAGTCTCCGGGCGGCCTTTATTGACTTAGCTAGATTTGCTTATGTGCTTTCCATTAACCCCCTTTTAACTGCCACATTCAGCCGGGCGGTTCTGAAGGTTGCAAGACGCATAATGGAGAAGGATGCTCTTGCGAGCGGACGCGGAATGCACATTAAGATAAAACGTCGGGAAAGCCTTTCTCCGTTTTCGTGCATGCTCTGTTACCATAAAGCACCAATGCTGCAGCAAGCAAAGGCTCTAGCAGCTCAGCCAGCTGCTTGTGGCTGGAAAGCCAGACAGGATGTTTGTGACTGTTGCCATGGGAACAAAGGGGCAGTCCATTCTGTACTGAGCACCGGATGTTAGCTCAGTGTGTGTGTGTCATATGACCCGTACTGGATGTACTTGGGAGGAGTTTCTTCTTGCTGTTGTTGAGTGCAGACATGATTCTCTGTACTGATGTAAGAGGCAGAAATAAATGATGTAAATAGTTTTCTGTCTGCTTCTTTCCCTCCCTGGGGACACCAAAGGGAGAGAGGAAGAACGGTGTGTTCCTCTCATACATCTGAGAAGAATCGCTGGACCTCGCCTGCTTATCAGCAGAGTGGAGACGCGGGGAGGTCGACAGGAATATCTGCCGGTGCCTACGCTGTGGCACATTCCTCTGACCCAGGCAGAATTCCAACAGTGGTAGCAGAGGATGGTTGCGATTCATCGGACATCTGCATGAGAGGCTGGTGGATTGTCCTCCTCTGCTCCAAGGAGGAATAGAAGCGTCTGAAAGAAGCCAGAGGCTCCACAGACAGCTGGTGGAAAGAAGAGGTGTTTTCCAGAGCAACGAAGTTCAAGGTATGCTGCATTTCGGGCTAAAAGTGTGAACGCAGGAAGATTAATTCCCTGGTTCACGGAGCTGCGTTTCAAAGAAAACAAGAGCTCCGGAGGAAGAGGCCTGCAGCTTGAAGGCTGAAGCCTGCATTCCACAAATTTTTGTGGTAGATAAGAAGTCCTATTGAAATGCATTGTTGCTAGGTAACGGTCCTGGAAAGTTACTGGCAAAGGGGCTGGACTCTGAGTGTGAGCCTGGGAAAGCGCAACAAAATCAGAGAATGTTTTGGCTACAAGGTTTACGAGCTCTTGGAAGGGACTTTTCAATAGCAGCCTGAGTTTAGCTGCCAGGTGCAAAGAGCGTAAACAATTTGCAGTTTGCTGCGTGAGAAAAGAAAAAACAACTGTTGGATTTTACAGTTTGTTTGACATTGTGAGCTGGAGGCTTGGCTTCAAGATGGATGCCAAGAAAGGGGAGGTTTGCCTTGCCCACCTCCCTTAACCAATGACAATTATTCATCTTGGTCTGTAAAGATGAAGGCCCTGCTGCAGAATCAGAGGCTTTTTGATGTAATTGAAAACCCCATCCCTGCAGCACCAACCAGAGGTTGGGAGTCACAGAATGTAAGGGCCAGGACTGCTATAATTCTGTGTGTCTCAGATGATCAGTTGGTGCATGTTCAGCATTTAGAAAATGCGAAAGAGGTATGGGACACGCTGCGTACAACGCATCAGAGAGATGCTGGTTCTTCAGCGTTGCTGTATTTTGAGAAATTGACCAATCTGAGACTTGCGCCTGATGGAGATGTTCAAGCGCACCTGACAGAAATGAAGTTTCTGCGTCAACAGATGGTGGAACGCAATTTCCGTCTTCAGGAGGAAGTGTTTTGCTTCATGATGATAAACAGCCTTAGCCGCACCTACAAGGTTGTTGCCAGTCAGCTTGGTTCCCTACCGGCCGCGCAGCTGACCGCGGAGAGAGTTTGTGCTGTGGTCCTGAATGAACACGACAGACTTGCTGCACTGGAAGAAAAAGACAGGGGAGGGAAGAACAGAGTTCTAATTCCCCACTGCTGATGCTACTGGAGAGCATGGTGTAGCATTGAGTGCTGTCCGATGCTACAATTGTGGACAGACTGGGCATCTACAGCGAAACTGTAAGAAGCCGCGCCAGTCAAGAGGAGCAAAGAGCAGCTCTACGAAGCCTCAGGCGTCAGGCAAAAGCCGTACCAAGTGCCAGGTGAAACCTGCAAAGGCTATGATGGCGAAAGGAACCACGCCAGATGTTGGGAACGCATTCATAATCGACACGGGCGCAACGGTTCATATGTGCCCGCACAGAGGACTATTTTCGACGTTGAGGAAGCAAAGCTTCACTGTGAAACAGGCCAACGGTCAGGAGTTGGAAGCGACTGGAATTGGGACTGTGTATCTTGAGAGTCTGAACTTGACTATAAGTGATGTTTACCTGGTTCCAGAACTGAGATTTAATCTGCTGAGCGTGTCGCAGATTGCAAAGAAAGGACTGAAACTGTCCTATGATGCTAAAAGCTGCAAGATCTACAAAGATGGAGAACTGTTTCTTACTGCCAAAGAGAAAGATGGACTGTATTTGTTGACTTTTGATCAAAGTGATTACATGAAATGTAATTCTTCTGATTCTAACGAAATCTCTCTTGCAGGTGTGACCAGTGTGAGCACCAGGAAGGTGACTAAGACCAAGAAGGTCGACAGAGCATTTCAGCGGGTGTATGCTGATGTGATTGGTCCTCTAGAACCATCTAGAGGCGGTGCAAAATATTACCTTTTGTGTGTGGATTGTTTCACTAATTATTCTTGGGTTTATATGATGGAGAAACCGCAAGAAACTTTAGAAAAGTTTCAGGAGTTTTGTGACAAGGTTAAAAGTATGCATGATGCTAACATTGATTGTCTTTTCACAGATGAGAAGCAAATTTTTCTGTTACAGAAGTTTCAGAAGTTCCTGGATGGAAAAGGGATAGACCACAAAGTTGCAGTCTCGCAAGAAGCGTGGAACAGGGGGGTCTGTGTGAGAGTGAACAAAGAATTGCAAAAGGGGATGAATGCGCAATTGCTGAGTTCACATTTGCCACATGAATATTGGGCTGAGTCGCTAGCGTCCTATCTTCATGTGTGGTTGAGAAAGGTCTCAACAGAGTTGGGATGTTCTCCTTTTGAGAAGCTGTTCAATAGAAAACCTTCTGTTGCCTATTTTAAGGTTTTCGGGTCTCATGTGAGAACAGAAGCTCCAGGTGGAGTAAAGAATGCCAGAGGCATTTTCGTGGGTTATGAAAAGGGTCTCTACAGAGTAATTTTGTCTGAATCTGGTCAGGTGATTCTCACAAAGTTCCTAGAGAGTGCTCCAAAACAAGAGCGGATAGTACAGACATTTCCCACAGGAAACGATTCTGATGATGATGATGATGATGAGTTTGATCTAATTGAGTTCAGTAGTACTGATGATGACAGTGAGAGCTCAGAGAGTTCAGTTGTAACAGTCATTGAGAGGAAATCTCACACAATGGATAGACCTTCACAGGTGAAGGAAGAACCACTGATTGCTACTGGTTCTCAACAGAGTCCAAAGGTTGAACCAGTGAGCACAGAAGATCAGAACCTCATACGCAGGTCTGAGAGAGTTACAAAGGGTGTACCACCAAAGAGGTACTCAAAAGAGTTTGCTAACTTAGCTGTTGCATGTGTTGCTATTGTTAACAACTCAAAGCAGGTTGAAGCAGTGTCTACGTCAGAGACAAAGACACAACAGAGGGTAGCTAGCCAAGGTAATGCAGAAGCACTCATTCCTTGGAAGCCAGACAACCAGAGAGGTACATTGGTTAAACCAGTGGCGGGTAGTTCCAAGGGTGGAACTGACACAACAGGGGAATGTTATAAATATAACAACTGTTTGTTTTCTTCTCTGGATGACGCTTTGCTCGCGGCACACATTGATACTTTAGGGGAGTATGTTACCATAAAGCACCAATGCTGCAGCAAGCAAAGGCTCTAGCAGCTCAGCCAGCTGCTTGTGGCTGGAAAGCCAGACAGGATGTTTGTGACTGTTGCCATGGGAACAAAGGGGCAGTCCATTCTGTACTGAGCACCGGATGTTAGCTCAGTGTGTGTGTGTCTTATGACCCGTACTGGATGTACTTGGGAGGAGTTTCTTCTTGCTGTTGTTGAGTGCAGACATGATTCTCTGTACTGATGTAAGAGGCAGAAATAAATGATGTAAATAGTTTTCTGTCTGCTTCTTTCCCTCCCTGGGGACACCAAAGGGGAGAGAGGAAGAACGGTGTGTTCCTCTCATACATCTGAGAAGAATCGCCGGACCTCGCCTGCTTATCAGCAGAGTGGAGACGCGGGGAGGTCGACAGGAATATCTGCCGGTGCCTACGCTGTGGCACATTCCTCTGACCCAGGCAGAATTCCAACATGCTCAGGGGTTTTGTTCAAGCCCAAGAGCTGGTTCTGAATAGTAGAGATTACCCTCTGGACAACATGGGGAACCTCTGAACACACAGGTCCCAGAGAGGAATCACAGCCTGGTCTTCCTCCTGCTGCTCAGCCCCACAATTCTTCTAGGATTTAGGAGACAAGGGCTATGGTCATGCCATCCCAAGCAGTGAGAAGCTCTTGGGTTCCAGGGGCTTACCCATGGTTTGGTTTCCATGGAACAGAGGTCAGCAGAGATTGTGGTGTCTTTAGGATATATTGACTGGGAGTGGCCGCCGAGACCATATAACACCGGTCCTGAAAGACCTACATTGGCTCCCAGTATGTTTCCAAGCACAATTCAAAGTGTTGGTGCTGACCTTTAAAGCCCTAAACGGCCTCAAAGGCCCAGTATACCTGAAGGAGCTTCTCCACCCCCATCGTTCAGCCCAGACATGGAGGTCCAGCTCCGAAGGCCTTCTGGCATTTCCCTCCCTGCGAGAAGTGAGGTTACAAGGAACCAGGTAGAGGGCCTTCTTGGTAGTGGCGCCTGCCCTATGGAACGCCCTCCCATCAGATGTCAAGGAAATAAACTATATGCAGTGTTTTTTTTCTGGGGGTACACAGGGGTACACATACTCCTAAACATATTGTGAATCTAAGTTTGACCTCATTGAGGGGCAGTATTTCAATATGAGTGGGAAAATGAGAGCACCCCTAAACATTTTTTAAATAGGAAAAAAAGCACGTCCTTCCACAGTCAGGATATAGGTTTCCAGGAGGGAGCTGATCATGGTGAGGGTTTGCCAAATGTGCCTTCCTCTTGGCACATTTCTCCCTTTTGTCCTGAGTTCAAGCATCTTCAAAGCCCATGACACCTTTGGTAAAGGCTGTTCTCCAACTGGAGCGCTCACAGGCCGGTGTTCCCCAGTTGTCAGTGTTTATACTACATTTTCTTAAGATTTGCCTTGAGAGAGTCTTTAAACCTTTTTAAAATGTATAAAGTGTTGCTGGAGTGGCATACAAAAGATGAAGAGGTAAAAGTAGTAATGATACACTGGGCAAGAGACTTTGGTTACAATATACAGTATGATGATTGGATGAAATTATGGAATGAAAGGCTAAAATTTATGGCATGTACTGCGTTGAAAGAAAATGTAATGAAAATGTTTTACAGATGGTATATAACACCAGTTAAACTGGCCAAAATGTATAAAACATGCAATAAGTGTTGGAAATGTAAAGAAAAAGAAGGTACTTTCTATCATATGTGGTGGGAGTGTAAAAAGGTGAAAGACTTCTGGGAAATGATATACAATGAATTGAAAAAGATGTTGAAATATACGTTCGTTAAAAAACCAGAAGACTTTCTATTAGGAATGGTAGGAAACGAAATCAATAAGAGACTGTAAACTGTTTCAATATGCAGTGACTGCCGCAAGGATACTTCTGGCCCAAAGATGGAAACAGGAAGAAATTCCAACAGTGGAAGAATGCAGAAGGAAATTGACCGAATATGCAGAATTGGATAAATTGACTGGGAAGATTCGATATCAGAAAGACCAAAAGTTTATCGAGGACTGGGGGAAATTTAAAGAATATCTGAAAAATATATGTGATGCACAGACAAAGCTTGTTGGTTTTGAAGAGACTCTGTGAAATAGTAAGAAATACTGCAAAAAAGAGAGTAAGAGGAAAAGGAGTGGTGAAAGGCAAAATCATGTTTAGAAATGCGTCAATAAATAGAATTTTTTCGAAAGATTGACAGAGAAACTGAGGGAAGTCAAAACTTGAAGCATGAGTGTAAAATAATTTGTTGAATGTACAAAATTTGTTTGGAAAATGAATAAAAATTATTTTTTTTTAAAAAAGAGAGAGTCTTTAAACCTCTTTTGCTGACCACCAGCATTACGCTTTCCATTTTTATGTTCAGAATAGAGTAGTTGCTTTGGAAGACGATAATCAGGCATCTGCACAACATGAACAGCTGACCCTGCTTTCCCCCCAGGTGGACCTTTGGACCACATCATCTCATGAAAAATCTTTGAGCAAGTGTGGGGTGTCGCTGGTGGGTGGGGCCAGGGGAAAAGGGGGTGGAGCAAGAGGTATGACTCTTACCTCTGTACAGGAAGCTACATTCCAGCCTTACGGAAGCCAGATGTTTCTACAGCCCCCACCCTCCTGCCTTGCCAATATTTTCATCTTCCATCCAGGCAAGGAAGACGCATTATCACAGATCAAAAATACAATCTGGCCAGGGAAAAGTGCTTGAAGGAGTGTGCAGAGCAGGCCGGGGAGGGGTCTAGGGAAGAGAGGGATGTCCCAGAGTTTCCCTATAGGGCTGCACTCTGCCTGGGGGGCTGGAGGCTCCCCGCACCTGATTTAAGAAGTGTAAATTACGCTTGACGTTACATTTGATTAACGTATAATTTCCTATTTAAAATGTCAAATGACATTTACGCAGCAAGGATGGTTGGGCTGGAACGCATCCACAAAATTAATTGCGCTTCTCGTGGCTTTGACATTCAGCTACTGAACTGTGTTTTTCAGGACTTGGACGAAAACGCCAGGAGAATCCTTTGCCAAGCAAATCTTCCCTTTGCTTGGATTTGTGCTGTATTCTTCTTACACTCTCGGAGAGCCAAAGTGGCATAGCGGCTAATGTGCTGTACTTGGGTATAGGTGCAAATCCCTACTCAGCCGTGGGTGGTCTTGGGCTGTGAGCCCTACTTTTCAGGGTTGTTGTTGTGAAGCTAAAATGGGCGGGGAGGAAACAATGTGCCTTACTCTGAGATTGCTGGAAAAAGAGTGGGACAAAAATATAATAAATACGTACACCCACTCTTCCCCTTCAGCTGCTCTGTTAACTCTGTTTAAAGTTGATGGGGCCTAACAATATTACCCATATTATCAAGGGCTCATTTCCCTGTGTGCTCACTAATATCATAGGATCATAAATGTCAGAGGATGATGTCTAAGAACTGTTGGAGGGAGCCTTATCAGCCATCTAGTCTATTTGCTCGCTTGATACAGGAGAGTCAAAGAGTTAAAGCACCACCAGGGCACAGCCATCACCTGCTAAGAAAAGCTGTTCAAAGGCCAAATGGGGATCATCCTTCTATCTGCCTATATACATAAAAATGGAAGGCTGTTGTCATGTTGCAGTTCACGTGGCCACCAATAGGTGGCCACAACAACGCCAACATGACCACAGGCTGTATTCATTGGAGGGGGGAGCACCTCCAATGGTTGTGGGGATAGGCAATGGGATGGGTGAGGTATAAAGGTAAGGAAGGTTTGGCCAAAGTGGGTCTTGGTGGGTAGGCAGGGTTGGTGAGCAGAGTGAGGAGCGATGGCAGCCCCTGGTGAAGCAATAAATAAGTAATGACTGCGCAAGTCAGCTGACTCATATTCAAGTCAGTGCTGTTTAAATTTCAAAGACCAAATTTAAAGCCACAACAACACGAGGCACATGTCAGCGGAAGAGCATTTTGCAGATTAGCAGTTGAAATCTAACATTGGAAAGTCTAGTAGCTAATGACCACAGAGCTGCAAATTTCTAGATAGGCAGACTTAGACCATAGAAATGTAACTGGTGGAGAGAGGGCTCTGTGTAATGTAATTTCCCCTGCTTCCAGTGGCGGGAAGAAATGGGAGATATAAAGCCTTCTCCTCCTCATCTGTCTGTTTTCTCTGTCTCTCTCTCTTTCTCACAATATCTTTCATGCAGACGGATATCTATCTGTACTCTCCCCGAGCGCAGACTCCATTTCTGTACAGTGGTACCTCTGGATGAGAATGGGATCCGTTCCGGAGCCCTGTTCACATCCAGAAGCGAATGCAACCTGCGTCCGCAGGTGTGAGGGTTGCGATTCGCTGCTTCTGCGCATACGCGTGACATCATTTTGACCATCTGTGCATGCATGAGCGGCGAAACAGGGAAGTAACGTGCTCCGTTACTTCCAGGTCATCGCAGCGCACAACCTGAAAATACTTATCTCGAAGCTACTTCAACCCGAGGTATGACTGTATTTAACTTTGGCTGTTGAAACCAAGAAGTATTTTACCTGCACAATTTTGCTGCTGCCTTTGCTGTGTTCCCGTGCAAGACTGCCAAGTAAGTAAACAATATATTTTAAGCTTACTTTATAAGTTGTTGCCTGATTCTTTTATTAAGAGGGAAACAAAGGGGAAGCCAACCTATTTCGTTGGCTGGGATTGACTCATAAAATGAAAGGCTTCACAGCATCAGGTTTTAATACTCCACTCGACCCCCACACCCAACAGAGATTGGAGGGATAAATTGCAACTAATATATCCTCTCCTGCCCATTGATAAACCATCCCACACATTTTGCTTGCCTAGCTGGCTTTAGAGCTGCTGCAACTTCACACAGAACAGTTTTCAAAGTGCAGCGGGGAGACTGCTGCCAAACTTGAAAGCTGGTCCTGGGGCTGAGTTGGCAGATTCCCCAATTGACACCTGAGGTGGGCTGGCCCAAATTAAGCCCTGGAATAACGTGAGGCCGCTCTTTGCTTCCCTATCCCAATAGAACAGGACCTCTCCTCTTTCAAGAACTGTAAATGAGAGCTCTTTAAAAGAGAGAGAGAGAAAAACCCACTTATCTCTTTCGTTGTGCTATACACTACAGAATCAAGGCTCATTACTATAGAGCCAGAGGCGGAAGTCACATCATTAATCTCTCTGTAACAGTCACATTTGCTAGACTCTTCCCTCTGAAGCAGATAGGCTTCCAGGCTAAACACACAGAGGAATGGGGAGCCTCCAACAACTAGGGTGTCCTACTTTTCTAACAGAAGCCAGGGCTCCCTTTCTTTCTCTTTCCTTGAGAGCAGCAGGGCAGGAGGAGAGTGGCAGCCAGCCAGCCAGCTTGCGATGATGAAAACACCTGATTCAGTGGGCAGAACCAGGAAAGGACTTTTCTTGGAGAGCTGGCAGAAGCTGGCCACGTTTTTTTTAGATACCGTATTTTTTGCTCTATAAGACTCACTTTTTCCCTTCTAAAAAGTAAGGGGAAATGTGTGTGCGTCTTATGGAGCGAATGCTGGCTGCGCAGCTATCCCAGAAGCCAGAACAGCAAGAGGGATTGCTGCTTTCACTGCGCAGCGATCCCTCTTGCTGTTCTGGCTTCTGAGATTCAGAATTTTTTTTTCTTGTTTTCCTCCTCCAAAAACTAGGTGCGGCTTGTGGTCTGGTGCATCTTATAGAGCGAAAAATACGGTAGATAGATAAACTTTATTCGCATTAGCCAATGGCCATAGCAACATAAAACAAGCAATATATACGAATAAAAAAAGACAGCAATGGGTAAAAAGGGCAATCAAATGACCATGATTATCGTTCAGATAGTGGCCCTTAATCTCATTGCACCCTCGATAAACCTAGCAACCTTCGCTGTTGTCTGATCATTTTGATCTGATAAAAGAAAGAACAATGTGGCCGCAGATGGGTGGCCTGGGATGGTAAGTAAGAGTGGGGTGATGATCTCATTCCTCAGATATTTATAAAGGGGACAGGACAGGAGAACATGAGCCACTGTTTCCAGATTACCATCTCCACAGGGGCAAAGTCGTTTTGCAGTTGGCATCTTTTGGTATCTGCCCTCAAGTACGGCAGAGGGCATCACATCCAATCTGGCCAGTGTGAAGGCACGTCTGTATTTTGGGATAGTTACAAATATGGTGCCAGGGAATCAAACTGAGAAGGGGGAAAAAAGGCATACCAAGGACAGAATTTCTTTATAACGGCCAGATTCTTCTGTTGCTCTAAGTCCTTCAGACGCTGTCCAATTAGCCTTTTGCTTCATGAGAAGCTGATGTGGGCCACGTTTTTGGCGGGTTAAGAAGAAGCGGAGAACGGACGTTTGTTTTCTGGCAAACTTCTAGGGCCACAAACACACCACCCTTTTAAAGCAGTATAATACCACTTTGAACAGCCACACAAAGACGAAACAACCGTCATTTCTTAAGGGTGCTGAGAGCTCTTAGGAGACCCCATTTCCCTCACAGAGCTACAATTCCCAGAGGGGTTTAACAGCCAACCCCTCTTCCCAGGGAACAGTGGGACGGGGGACCTGTGGCCCCCAGATGTGGTGGGTTCCAGCTCCCATCAGCCCCAGTCAGCAAGGCCAGTGGTCTGGGATAGAATCACAGAATTGTCTTGGCACAAAAATGGAAGCAAGAAGAATCACTGATGAAAGAAGAATGGTGGATGAAATTGATGGGCTATGCAGAAATGGATAAATTAACAGGAAGGATTCGAAATCTTTGGGACCAGAGATTCTTAGAACAGTAAATATACGAACTATTTGAAAAGTAACTGTAATGAACAGATTACGCTAGTAGGATTGCAATAAGTTTTGTAAGGATGACTATCTGAAAGACTATGAGGAGAACTATTAGTTAATGATAATTAAGAGTAATAGCGAAATTAAGAAATGCAGAATAAGTGATAAGGAACGGAAAATCACCAGAGGTGTTGACGGAAGTCTAAAATATTGTATAAGATAAAAAGTTATGTTATATGATTGTTGGAAATGATATTTTAAAAAAACTAATAAAAATGTATATGTATAGTGGTACCTCGGGTTAAGTACTTAATTCGTTCTGGAGGTCTGTACTTAAGAAGAAGAAGAAGAAGAAGAGTTTGGATTTGATATCCCGCCTTTCACTCCCCTTAAGGCGTCTCAAAGCGGCTAACATTCTCCTTTCCCTTCCTCCCCCACAACAAACACTCTGTGAGGTGAGTGGGGCTGAGAGACTTCAAAGAAGTGTGACTGGCCCAAGGTCGCCCAGCAGCTGCATGTGGAAGAGCGGAGACGCGAACCCGGTTTCCCAGATTACAAGACTACTGCTCTTAACCACTACACCACACTGGCTCTCTTAACCTGAAACTGTTCTTAACCTGAAGCACCACTTTAGCTAATGGGGCCTCCTGCTGCTGCTGTGCCGCCGGAGCACAATTTCTGTTCTCATCCTGAAGCAAAGTTCTTAACCTGAAGCACTATTTCTGGGTTAGCGGAGTCTGTAACCTGAAGCATATGTAACCTGAAGCGTATGTAACCCAAGGTACCACTGTATATATAAAAAGAATCACAGAATGGGGCTCAAACTCACAACCTTGAGATTAAGAGTCTCATGCTCTACTGGCTGGGCTAACCATGGGAGATGTATTCTGGCAGCACCTGAAATCCCACAGTGGCCCCCATCTTTGCACTATGCAAATTATTATTATTATTATTATTATTATTATTATTCAGCACTGTACCTGTAGTTTCGACGATGCCTTCCAGGATAACGACAATCTCGAACTGCTCGCTCCGCAGCGATCTCTGCGAGAGGGCAAAAAAAGGGCTCTTTTCGTTGATTTCATGGCAGATGGTGAGAGGAGAAACGAGGAACAGTTGGTCGGCCCCAGTTCCGAATCCAACGTCGAGCTCGCATTGGTCTAGTGGCAGGAATTCACCTTCTGGCGTCTGTCGTGACTAGTGAGAGAGAGAGAGAGAGAGAGAGAGAAGTCCCACTGAGTCGAGAGCAAATCTCACAGCAGCAAAATGATAGGAACTTCCTCAGGGTGCCTGTATGGTGTACCTTTCAAGCTGCAGAGACTCCATTGGAATTAAAGCTGAGAGGGAGAGGGTTTTGAGTGGGGGTGAGCTGAACCCGGGTCTGGGTGAGATCTGGGTGCAAGACTCTCTCAGGCAAATCAATGGTAATGTCTTGGCCCCACCCATTTCATGCATGCACCCACACCTTCATGGCGGAAGAGCAAACTCCCCCATCAGCCAGAGGATTAGTCTGCGTTTCTCCCTCCAAAAGGGGTGAGGGGGAATCATACTGAGCTGTGTGCCAGTGGCAGTCAGTTCTGTTTCCAGGGCAGCTGTTTATCAGCTCCATCTGGTACGCAGGCTGAGACCCTACCTGCCCGCGGACTGTCTCGCCAGAGTGGTGCATGCTCTGGTTATCTCCCGCTTGGACTACTGCAATGCGCTCTACGTGGGGCTACCTTTGAAGGTGACCCAGAAACTACAACTAATCCAGAATGCGGCAGATAGACTGGTGACTGGGAGTGACCGCCATGACCATATAACTCCGGTCCTGAGAGACCTACATTGGCTCCCAGTATGTTTCCGAGCACAATTCAAAGTGTTGGTGCTGACCTTTAAAGCCCTAAACGGCCTCGGCCCAGTATATCTGAATGAGCGTCTCCATCCCCATCATCCAGCTTGGACACTGAGGTCCAGCACTGAGGGCCTTCTGGTGGTTCCCTCACTGCGAGAAGTGAGGTTACAGGGAACCAGGCAGAGGGCCTGCTCAGTGGTGGCGCCTGCCCTGTGGAACACCCTCCCATCAGATGTCAAGGAAATAAACAACTATCTGACTTTTAGAAGACATTTGAAGGCAGCCCTGTATAGGGAAGTTTTAAATGTTTGATGTTTTATTGTGTTTTTAATATTTTGTTGGGAGCCACCCAGAATGGTAGGGGCAACCCCGTCAGATGATGATGATGACGATGATTACAACTCCCATCAGCCTGGCTCAGGGGAGTCATAGTCCAAAACAACTGCCAGGATGGGCAAGGCTGCCCTGTTCAGCACATTACACTCCTGGATTGAGTAGAGTGTTGCCATTGTGCCTGCCTCTTCAGTGCCTTCTCCAGTGGTGAGCCTCGAAACTGCCATTTTAACATTCCACAACTGCCTGCAGTCACAATGCTACAAGGGGAGACATTGTGGGAAATATATACAGTGGTACCTCAGGTTAAGTACATAATTCGTTCCGGAGGTCCGTTCTTAACCTGAAACGGTTCTTAACCTGAAGACCACTTTAGCTAATGGGGCCTCCTGCTGCTGCCGCGCCGCCGGAGCACGATTTCTGTTCTCATCCTGAAGCAAAGTTCTTAACCTGAAGCACTATTTCTGGGTTAGCGGAGTCTGTAACCTGAAGCGTATGCAACCTGAAGCATATGTAAACCAAGGTACCACTGTATGGTGGTCAGCTCTCATTCCTGGTCACCCAAGGTTGTTGCCTGCCAGCACAGGACCTTACTGTTAGCTGAAGAACATCCATACGATTTACAAACTTAATCCTGGGCACCACAATCTATCAAACCACATTTCTAAAATCTCTGCTTGATTTCCTTCTCCCTTCCAATCCATTTTCCTTTTGTGTCGTGTTAGATTGCAGGCCTGAGGGCAGGGGCTGCCTTTGTCTCCCACCACGCCATCACCTGTAAGCTTCTCTGTGACTGAAGAATGGGGTTAAATAAAGTTGGGAAGGATACCCAGCTGTGCTGATTAAGTCAGGCATGGGCAAACTCGACCCTCCAGATGTTTTGGGACTACAACTCCCATCATCCCTAGCTAAGAGGACCAGTGGTCAGGGATGATGGGAATTGTAGTCTCAAAACATCTGGAGGTTTGCCTATGCCTGGATTAAGTGTTGTAATGTTTGTTTTCCATCGCTAGGAAAAGCTACATTTCTGGGAATTGTTATTTCTGGATGGGCGATTCTGCTCTCTCTCTTGTTTTTGCATGTCATGGACACATTCATAGAGGAATAGTGGTGGATTTACACTGGCCTGTAGCAGATAGCTCAGTCCGTAGAAGATGAGGCTCGTAATCTCAGGGGTGTGGGTTCGAGCCCCACGTTGGGCCAAAAGATTCCCGTATTCCCGGGGGGGGGGGTGGACTAGATGTCCCACGGGGTCCCTTCCTATTCTATAATTCTATGTCCACACATCACTCCACTTCATCAGTTGCCCTGCAATGCTTCTCGCACAATACCACATTATTGCCACAGGAAGGGGTCTTCTTGAGCTGTAGGGCAACAAACAAAAGCAGGGCAAAAAAGAAAAGACCTAATCCTAACCCTTTGCAAAAAATACACAACAACCCTACAACATTTGCGGCATTAAAACGTTATGGGATTTTGGCATGAATTCTCAGGGCAGTTATGTCTGCTCCGAAACTTTCACAGGCGCAAACTGTATTGAAGGGGCATCACTTATAACCATCATGATGTTATCATGAACAAGGCTGCCTGGAAGAACCTGATTGGATGCCTGCCCTGCCCCATCCCCACTCCCAACCCCACCCCCGGGAAGGAATTACAACACACGTGTGTGCGTGGTTAGAAGCAATTTTCTGGACTGTGATGGCTACTGGGGGAAAAGGCAGACATTGCGGCTGTCTGGTGCATTTCTGGTAATTAGCGGAGGGATGGGGAATTAGCAAGGTGTTGACAGCAGATATGGGCTGAATCATCTTAAAAGGGGAAGAGGGAAATCAAATGGAAATGAATGTGCAGAACGGCAGCTGTGATATACGAGATTCCTTGCAAGCGGTGCTGTTTTTCAGGGTGCCAGAACTTCACCCTGAACGCCTCCCTTGCTCTCTTATAATGGCGCCCACCTGAGAGGCGCCGGAACCGAGTTCTGGTGAGTTTGGGAATGGAAACCGCGCCTGCTTGCAAGACATTTGATCAAATACAGTGGACACTCAGGTTGTGAACATTATCCGTGCGGGAAGCACGTTCGCAACCCGCAGCGTCCGCAACCTGCAGCGTCGCATCTGCGCATGTGCGGGTCATGATTCGGTGCTTCTGCGCATGTGCAAAGAGTGATTTAGTGCTTCTGCGCATGCGCAGAAACCTGGAAGTAACCTGCTCCAGTACTTCCGGGTTTGGCGCAATGCGCAACCCGAAATCGCACAATCCGAAGCATCTGTAACCTGAGGTATGACTGTAAACAGAAAAGCATCTTGTGGACCTTAAAGCACTGTTCTGGACGCACCCAAACACTGCAATCTGCTCCCCAAACGCCTCTCCATTCTCCTTCCCTTTGCCACAGAAGCACCAGCATGCCTTGCCGACCTGAATTAGCCAGACATGTGTCCCCTGATTTGCTCACTGTCATCTTTATGAACCAACATGCCAATCCTCGCTCCTGCTCAAAACCACGGTGCAATTCGCCTGCTAACCCAATGTGATGTTCTGTGCCCGAACGGCCAAGGCTCCTTTAATATTATTATTCCTGACCCACATTGCTCATGCACACCCTGCCCTGCCAAGGGAACCGGTTTCCCAGTGGACGATGAGAGCAGGCAAGAACTGAGGTCAAAGGGCTTTTCGAAAGGTTCCCAGAAAGCATGGTTCATTTGAGACTGACGATAGACAGGAGCAGAGACGTTCAAGCTGCAGAAGGCCTACCGGCTGTGATGGCAATGCTCTCTGGCAGCAGTGCTTCTGAAACTGCAGGAGGGAGAGAGGGCTCTTGTTTGTGGGTTTCCTACAGCCATCTGGTGGGTCACTGTGAGAACAGGCTGCTGGACGAGATGGGGCATTGGCCTGACCCCCCGAAATGAGAATTGGAAATGGAGGAAAGAAAATTATTAAAAGGCATTTTGTGTGAATGGCTTTATAGGATCGGGTCTAAATAATGCAACATTGAAAAAAGAGAGAGAGAGAGAAAGGGAGGAAGGAAGGAAGGAAGGAAGGAAGGAAGGAAGGAAACCCCCTTTCTGAGCAATGTGAATAATCAGAGGATGTTTACGCAGGTTGAGACCCTACCTGCCCATGGACTGTCTCGCCAGAGTGGTGCATGCTCTGGTTATCTCTTGCTTGACTACTGCAATGCGCTCTACGTGGGGCTACCTTTGAAGGTGACCCAGAAACTACAACTAATCCAGAATGTGGCAGCTAGGCTGGTGACTGGGAGCGGCCGCCGAGACCACATAACACCAGTCTTGAAAGACCTACATTGGCTCCCAGTACATTTCCGAGCACAATTCAAAGTGTTGGTGCTGACCTTTAAAGCCCTAAATGGCCTCAGTCCAGTATATCTGAAGGAGCGTCTCCACCCCCATTGTTCTGCCCAGACACTGAGGTCCAGCGCCGAGGGCCTTCTGGCGGTTCCCTCATTGCAAGAAGCCAAGTTACAGTGAACCAGGCAGAGGGCCTTCTCGGTGGTGGCACCCGCCCTGTGCAACGCCCTCCCACCAGATGTCAAAGAGAACAACAACTACCAGACTTTTAGAAGACATCTGAAGGCAGCCCTGTTTAGGGAAGCTTTCAATGTTTGATGCATTACTTGCATTTTAAAATTTTGTTGGAAGCCGCCCAGAGTGGCTGGGAAAGCCCAGCCAGATGGGCGGGGTATAAATAATAAATTTATTATTATTATTATTATTATTATTATTATTATTATTATTATTCAGCTTTTTAGCACAGCCCTCCAGAGCTCAGTCTGGCCCTTGAGACTCTCTCCAAAAAACATCCCTCTCACCAGCCTGGCTAGATTAGGGCGTGTTGAATTTTTCCAACTTTCAAATTCCCCAGATGAGGAGTGTTAAGAAGCTGTAACACGACTTGGGAATATTTTGGCGAAACAAGTCCCGTGGAGGAGAAGCAGAGGGCAGCCTAAGCATAAATAAGGCAATGCTAGGATAGTTCAGGAAATGCTTTGAGGCTCACAGTGGGTGAGTAAGCCTTATATTTCCTTCCCCATGTTAACAAAATTCAGCTGCAGGGATACCTGCATCTGTTCGCCTGGAGGAGGAAAATCAGGTTAGAGGAGGCCATTTTCTGCATGGTGCGGCTGGGGAACCTGAGGAGTAAAGGGGCCCAACCTTTCTCTTCAAATCTTCTGTGGGAAACTGCAGCCTCCAAGAAGTGCCTTTTGTAAAAGGGGGAAACTGGAAACATTGAACAGAAGAAAACTCTCCATGACTCAACATCACGGGCAGTTTGACCCTGAAGGAACAGAGCAATGAGTAAGGCATGGCCTGAGGAGAACAAAAGGAGTGAGAAGGTGGTATGAAGAAGACTTTAGAAAGCTAGTGTCCTCTGCATGTTTTGGACTACAATGCCCCGTCAGACCCAGCCAGCAGACATGGGCGACTTTGTGTGTGTCTGTCTGCCTGTGTGTTTCGACAAGCAAGTGAGATAAGGCCTTGACACCTCTAGGAGGAGGTGAAACCTCATTATGGCTGAGGTGTTGTTGCCAGAGCTTCTGATTATTTCCCGTAATTAAATACGATTTCAGTGATCTAGGTTTTCAAAAGGGAAGGCCTCTTGGATCTGAGAGAGGGTCACACACAGGGGCGTCTTACCCATAGAGGCTAGTAGTGTGGGGCGCCAGGGCTCCAAGTTCTGGAGGGTGCCAGGAAAGAGGCGGAGGCTGGAGGTGGCGCCTCCCAGCATCAGCTTGCCGTCCTCGCCCGCTTCTACCATGCCGTGCTGAAGCAGTGCCGTGCCCGGAGCCTCTGTCTGCCATGGCCACTGTGGCATGAAGTGGCCAGCTGAGCTGGGAGCTGCCACGTCCAGCCTCTTCCCCTGCCGAAGGAGCCGCCCTCCAGCCACTGCCCACCTCCTCGAGCCCTGAGGCAGCGCCGTCCTCCCTAAAAAACTCTGGGGAATGGGGTGTGTGTGTGCCAGAGGGCGCTTTGCACCATGGTGCCAGATATGCATAAGACGGCCCTGGTCACATACCCTCCAACGTTCCTCTGATGAAAATTAGGTTGTTGTTGTTGTTTGAATTTATATACAGTGGTACCTCAGGTTACATATGCTTCATGTTACATATGCTTCATGTTACATATGCTTCATGTTACTCCGCTAACCCAGAAATAGCGCTTCAGTTTAAGAACTTTGCTTCAGGATGAGAACAGAAATCGTGCTCTGGTGGCGCGGCAGCAGCAGGAGGCCCCATTAGCTAAAGTGGTGCTTCAGGTTAAGAACAGTTTCAGGTTAAGAACAGACCTCTGGAACAAATTAAGTACTTAACCCGAGGTACCACTGTACCGTCCTATACCCGGGGGTCTCAGGGTGGTTCACAGAATAAAATCAAGATATAAAACCACAAAATACCAATAAAAATAAAAACAGAAACCCAATACCCCTCTCCCCACAAAAAAACACATTTTAAAAGGGCATAGGATATAAATCTGATCAGCCAAAGGCCTGGTTAAAAAGGAACGTTTTTGCCTGGCGCCTAAAGGTGTATAATGAAGGTGCCAGGCAATCTTCCCTGGGGAGAGCATTCCACTTGGAGGGTCAGCAGCAGACAGGGCATACTCTCCAGTGACACTGATTCAATAATTTCCACATTAGTGATTTGGGCATGAGTGCCAATCCTGCTTTTGTCAAGAAACAGTACCATCCATGCTGATATTAACAGTGGTATCCATTTAGTCATACTCAGAGCAGACCCACTGCGATTAAGAGGCATGGCTTACTTAGGTCCATTAAGTCAAACGGGTCTGCTCAAAGAGTATAATTTAGTTGGCTGCAACCATAGGAGCCAACTCCTAGGGGCTGAAGTCCCTTTGGCAGCCCCTCAATAAAATACTTGAGGGCGCCCCCAAAGTTGATGAGCATTGCAATTCAAATGGTGTGTGTCTTGTGATCGATTATGCGGGATGGGGCTTACCCCGCCCCCTCGCAATATTTTATTCAAGTCGGCATCCCCTACATGGGTCTCGTTTTAATTTTGAGAAGCGAGTGCTTTCTTCATTTCTCTCCCCCCCCCCCCAATTGCCCGCCTCCAGCCCCAGAAGCTTGCAAAGGACTCAAGCCCTAGAGCTGCCCGTTCTCTAGAAACCCCCTCTACCACCTGTTCTTTGCTTCCGGCGCGGCACGTTGCGCGGAGGTCCCGTCGGTGCGCGTTTTTACGCGCCAGACTCCTTTTGCGCGCAGCGGCGTTCTGGCGGGGTTGCTTCCTAACGCGCCAAGGTCTCCGCTTCTCCCCGCTTCGCTCCGGAGGAAGCAGGCGCACGTGGACCAGCCAGCCTTCCTTATCGGAGATGGGGATGGCGAGAAGCCCGAAGGCGGACGGCGCGATAAGCCTTATCTCCCGGCCGGGCTCGCTCAGTCGACCGACGGAGCTGCTTCTCTAATCAGGTGCGGGAGGAGCGGAGAGGCGCCGCCGCCTGCGCTCAGCCACACGTGGCCCGGGAAGGAGGGAGCCCGATGGCGCGCCGCTCTCGCCCGGGGCTGAGTTGGGCACGTCGAGGCTAGTAGGACCCGTCGGGGTTGTTGGAGGCTGGGCAGAAGGTGGGGGGGGGGGCGCAGAATAGGCCAAGGCACCACTGAGAAGTAGGCATGGGCGTATAAATCAATCAATAAAGTCAATAAATAACAATACTTAAAACTAAAAGTAGAAATTGTAGAAGGATAGTTTTCATGAGCACAAAAGGAAGATAAAACAACTGTTGAGACATTCAGTCCAAAACTGCTCATGGGCCAAGAGGACGCTCCCAAGCACAAAAATTATTGAAAAGCATTGAAAGTACTCAATTAATTGAGGTTCTGCCCTCCTCCCCCTTATGAAAGCTTGCTTCCCGCAGTGGGGGTATTTTCTACCTGTGATTTCCCAAAAAAGTTCAACAACTACTTTAGGGGGTGATCTAGAAAAAGCTTGACAACTTTGGCTGCCACCCCCCTAACAAAAATCCTGGCTACGCCCGTGAATCTGCCAGACAAGAGACATAGAGGATGGTGACAGGTGAGTGTCCTGCCCCCCCCCATAAATCCTGGCTATAGCCATGGAAGTAGGGGTGCCAACTTGAATAAAATAATGGGGGGGGCAGGTAAGCCCCGCCCCACATAATCACATGATGCGGCACACAGACATCATTTTAATGGCAATGAATGTACATCACCTTTGGGGGGCCCAGCCCCCCTAAAATATTTTATTGATGGGGCCGAATAAGGCCTTAAGAAGTTGGCTGTGATGCTGAGAGAACTTGGAAGGAGAAAGCCCTACGGAAGAGGGTCTGTCTGGTTTGCCGAAGCACTATGCATTACCATCTTAAATAATAATAATGAATAGCAATAAATGCTTGGAATAATATTAATAATTTGGAAAGGACACCAGCACCAGAGTCTAAATCACCTCCCTTCACTACCAGCTTGGGGTTTGCAACCCCGTCCTCTCTGAAGAACATAGAGAAGCTCCTACCACCTCCTGTTTCCCACACAAACCTCTCCTGCCTTGCTCTCCATCAGCTTCAAAGGTAGACAGCTTCTGGAGCTGGAGTTTCCACTGAACTATGGCTAACTCCAACTGCTGATAGACTTGCAGCCTCCATGAATGTATTGAATCTGTTTTTGAGTCATCCAAGCCACCTCTTGCAGCAGCAGATTCCCACCAGTTTTGCCAGCCCTGAAGTGCTTCCTACGGTTATGTCCTGAACTCGACGTCCATTTATTTCATTGGGTGATCGCTAGTTCTCAGATTAGGAACAAGGAAGGGTGCGGGGGAATAGCCACTTTTCTCATGCTGTCTCTGAGCATGCACAAAGTAAAATCCTCCCTCAATGACAGTATCATATGTTCAGAATTAGAGACAGTGGTTTGAAGGCAGAGGTTGTATCCTGAGTACCTCTGTTTTTAAAAATTATTAATAGAAATTAAACCCTGCTTACTTGATCAAATCAGATGTCTGGGGGCTAGCTATGGTAACACAGAGGTGGCAGAATGGCAACATACGCATGCTCAGAAACACTCTTCACATAACCCACAACTAAGCCTTAGCAAACCCTGAGGCTGAGCCCCATTTTATATTAAGTCCCAGGGCTTCCAGAGTCCTCCTGGAACTCTTCTGAGACCAGGTGCACAGCCTGGGAGTCATTTTGGACTCACAGCTGTCCATGGAGGTGCAGGTTAATTCTGTTAACCAGCTCCATATGGTACGCAGGCTGAGACCCTACCTGCCCGCAGACTGTCTCGCAATGCGCTCTACATGGGGCTACCTTTGAAGGTGACCTGGAAACTGCAATTATTCCAGTATGCGGCAGCTAGACGTGACTGGGAGCGGCTGCCGGGTCCACATAACACTGGTCCTGAGAGATCTGAATTGGCTCCGAGTACGTTTCTGAGCACAATTCAAAGTGTTGGCGCTGACCTTTAAAGCCCTAAACAGCCTTGGTCCTGTATACCTGAAGGAGCGTCTCCACCCCCATCATTCAGCCCAGACACTGAAGTCCAGCGCCGAGGGCCTTCTGGCGATTCCCTCATTGCAAGAAGTGAGGTTACAGGGAACCAGACAGAGGGCCTTCTCGGTAGTGGCACCCGCCTTTGGAATGCCCTCCCATCAGATGTCAAGGAAATAAGCAGCTATCCTATTTTTAAAGACACCTGAAGGCTGTTTAGGGAAGGTTTTAATATTTAATGCTGTATTATTTTTAACACTTGATTGGGAACGCCACAGTGGCTGGGGAAACTCGGCCAGTTGGGCGGGGTATAAATAATAATTTTTATTTTCAATATGAAGGCACAGATTTTGTTATACTGTGGGGACTAGAGACTTGACTTTTAAAAATGAAATCAAAGCAGACATTTTCCAGGGGGCTCAAGTGTTGTGACAAGACAGCAGCAGCAGCTCTTTAGAAAGTAATGGATGCTGCCCCTTATATGACCTTCAGAATCAAGGCTGGCAGAAGTGCCAAGGTGTCAGCTTTTATGTGCTGGCTGCCAGGATGACCCCCACGTGCCCTTCTGGTGGTATGATCTGTCGAAAGTCTCCCATCGCTCAGCGGTCCAGCAGCGACTGCCTTTGATAGTCAAAGTGCCTGGGTTTTGGACTTGGGCCATGTCAGAGAACGGCTTGTTCCGCGGATGCAGGAACTTGCGAAGACAGCAGAGGAATGCGGGGCGACAGCTTGAAGCACTTCCTACTCCTGCGGCTGCGGCTCCAGCAGCAGGCAGAGCTCTTGCCAAGAGGAACAAGGGCTGGCTAGCTGCAGATTTCCCCTAAATGCCAGCCACCGGTGCAAGAATGAACCCCAGAGCTAGTTTGGGATTTTGCGCGGCCGGATCGGCATTGTAGAAGAATAGCTGGGTTCTTGCTGGTGAAGCCATAAGTAAGGCAGATCTGGGCTTACCTAGTATGTTACAGTGCTTGGCAATTGAAGTTGGCATGCCCTCCAACGTTTCTCCAATGAAAATAGGGCTGTCCCATTCCATAATAGGGATGCGGGTGGCACTGTGGGTTAAACCACAGAGCCTAGGGCTTGCCGATGAAGGTCGGCATTTCGAATCCCCACGACGGGGTGAGCTCCCGTTGCTCTGTCCCAGCTCCTGCCAACCTAGCAGTTTGAAAGCACGCCAGTGCAAGTAGATAAATAGGTACAGCTCTGTTGGGAAGATAAACAGCGTTTCTGTGTGCTGCTGTGGTTCACCGGAAGTGGCTTAGTCATGCTGGCCACATGACCCCGAAGCTGTATGCCGGCTCCCTCGGCCAATAAAGCAAGATGAGCACCACAAACCCAGAGTCGGCCACGACTGGACCTAATGGTCAAGGGTCCCTTTACCTTTACTCCATAATAATAATAATAATAATAATAATAATAATATTTCTGCTCCACCCATCTGACTGGGTTGCCCCAGTCACCTTGGGCAGCTTCCAACATATATAAAAACCCAATAAAACCTTAAACATTTTTTTAAAAAACCTTCCTTATAAAGGGCTGCCTACATATGTCTCCTAAAGGTTGTATCGTTATTCGTTACTTATCTCCTTGACTCGGGGGTCGTATGACTCCATACCCTCCAACAACATTTCTCGGGTGAAAATAGGGACGTCCTAAGGAAAAGCGGGACATTCCGGGATCAACTGAGAAACCAGGGTGGCTTATGTGAATCAAATCAGAAACCGTTATAGCTTCTGTAAATCCAGGACTCTCCTTGGAAAATTGGGACATTTGGACGGTCTGCTTGCTTAGTGGGTTTGTTAGGAAAGGGGAACTGTGGCGAAAATAATTAAATCAACATCCCAAGCTCCCCTTGAGAACCTTCAATAATCATCTGAAAGAAGGAGATGATAGCTCAGTCTGTATCACATACTATATTCTTAGTGAAACCCTTTAGGAACTTGGGATCAAATTTTAATCTTTTCTGCACCCCTTTTTCTTCTTCTTTCTTTTTGTACTGGTTTACCATACTGTGGTGTAGACCTCTTTTACTTTACCAAATGAAAAAGAAGAAGAGTGATGCCTATAAAACAGGGGTAGGCAAACTAAGTCCCAGGGGCTGGATCCGACCCAATTGCCTTCTCAATCCAGCCCATGGACGGTCTGGGAATCAGCGTGTTTTCACATGAGTAGAATGTATCCTTTTATTTAAAATGCATCTCTGGGTTATTTGTGGGGCATAGGAATTCGTTCATCCCCCCCAAATATAGTCCGGCCCACCACGTGGTCTGAGAGATGGTGGACCGGCCCCCTGCTGAACAAGGTTGCTGACCCCTGCTATAAAATGAAAGGATTCAATCAGAAGTGAGGCTGGACTGCTAATTGTATTGGCTCTTAAAAATTAAGGCAAGGCGTGGGATTCCGACTCACTGTAATACTAACTGTGTCTACTCAGAAGTAAGTTCTCTTGAATTAAACGAGTGTTACTCCCTGGTAAGTAGGGTTGGGGCTGCAGCCTAAGCCAGTTGCACATGGTTCCCACTGAAAAAATAGACATTACCAATCAATATTTTAAAAAATAATAGAATTGTAGAGTTGGAAGGGACCCTGAGGATCATCTAGTCCAGCCCCCTGCAATGCAGGAATATGCAGCTCTCCCATACGGGGATAGAACCTGCAACCTTGGCATTATCAGCACCACGCTCTTACCAACTGAGCTAGTCAAATCAATGGAACTTAAGGGGTAACAAACTGTTTCCACTGATTTCAGGGGGACCTAAGTACAGCTAAACTCAGAGTCCACTCTCTGCGTTTGTCTACCCAGCAGCAATCCCCACTTAGTTCATTGAGATTTACTCCCAGGTAAGCGTGCGTAGGATTGCAGCCTAGATCTGGATCATATCCATTATGTTTCCGAAAAAATATGCAACAGTGATTTTAAGGAGGTCAACAACAGCTTCTTAAGAAATGTGTTGAAAGAAAACATCAGATACTGTAAACATGTGTATGTAATACAAATCCTAAAAAGCTGTATAGCAGGCATAGGCAAACTCGGCCCTCCAGATGTTTTGGGACTACTACTCCCATCATCCCTAGCTAACATGACCAGTGGTCAGGGATGATGGGAGTTGTAGTCCCAAAACATCTGGAGGGCCGAGTTTGCCTGTGCCTGCTGTATAGAATGACAAGGAAAGGAACTTGGTTTGTATTAATCAGAATGCCTGGCATCATATTTGGAATAATAGTCTGGAATTTTTTTATTTGTTACCGGACAAATCTTACCACCCAGTGATTTCTAAGTGGCATTATACACCCCCCCACACCCCCAAGAAATTAAAGAAGGTTATAGGACTGAGAAGAGAATATTGACAAAAACATTGTGGAAGAAAAGGGAAGATTGTTTTCCATATGTGGTGGAGATGTCCATGCAGAAATCTTATGGATTATTCATTTCGTGATAGGATATAATCTCCTAGGTACTTCAGAGGCCCTGTTGTTGGGGAAATTTTTCAAGATTATGTAAAGGAGGGACTTTCAAGGCATTATTCAATATTTCCTGGTTGCAGCTAAAATATGATTGACAAGACTCTCTGGAAAGATGTTAAAATCCCCGAGGTGGAAACTAGGTTGTTGAGAATTTGGGATATTAGAGCTGCTAAGAAGGCAGCAAATTATGTTAAATTGAGAGAAGCTGGAGTTTTTACCAATGCTTTTGTTTAAAACGGCATCTGTTTCATTGTCTTCTGAAAGGAGATCCTATCCCTGACAGGTTTTGGCTTTCAGTGATACGGTGTAGATTTAGGAAGAGTGAATGTTTGGATTACAGTAAGAACAAAACAAAGCAATAACAGTAACAGACATGCAGTACAGTATGTAGTTTATTTTTCCATGGAAGCATTTGCCTACATTGAAATACTATATTGTACACTGCTTAAAGTCGTCCTCAAAAAGGACCACCCTTTTGTTTTCTAAAAGTTGAAAGAAAGACGAAATGTAAGAACATATGAATTCTTATTCAGAGTGAAATCTATATATATCATCTTTCTTTCTTTCTTTCTTTCTTTCTTTCTTTCTTTCTTTCGGTTACCAGATTTTTTCCAATGAATATCTGGGGACACTTTTCAACTTCAGTGGATTTTGTCAGGGGACTGTCCCTGGGAAACAGGGATGTCTGGTAACCTTAATCTATCTATCTATCTATCTATCTATCTATCTATCTATCTACCTACCTACCTACCTATCCAGTGCTTTTTTTCCTGGGGGTACGCAGACTCCTAAACATTTTGTGAATCTGAGTTTGGCCTCATTGAGGGGCAGTACAGGGGTACCTCGGGTTACAGATGCTTCAGGTTACAGAGGCTTCAGGTTACAGACTCTGCTAACCCAGAAATAGTACCTCGGGTTAAGAACTTTACCTCAGGATGAGAGCAGAAATCACGGGGCAGCAGGAGGCCCCATTAGCTAAAGTGGTGCTTCAGGTTAAGAACAGTTTTAGGTTAAGAACGGACCTCCAGAACGAATTAAGTTCTTAACCTGAGGTACCACTGTATTTCAATATGAGTGGGAAAATGAGAGTACCCCTAAACATTTTTTTTAAAGAAAAAAAGCACTCTATCATCTATCTATCTATCTATCTATCTATCTATCTATCTATCTATCTGTCTATCTATCTATCTATCTATCTATCTATCTATCATCTATCTATCTATCTATCTAATCTCCATCAAACCCTGCACACTGTCTCTGATACAGAGGCTAGGCAGATGCCTTCTGGTAGCTTACAACCAGGGCAAAATGGAGACAGCCACCACCTATCATTTTCCTCTGGCTGGTCTTTGGGAATAAATGCCAAGGCTTCACTTGCTAATTTCCTGCATTTATCTCGATTTCTGCCCGTGCTATTGACTATCGCAGCTTTCCATGAGCGTGAGCTTCTGTGTTTGTTATGCATCGCATGGCGGGGAGGAACCGAGCAGCAGCTCAGGATCTCACTTCCCAACCTCCTCCCTGTGTTTCTGTCGCTTGCCTTGCCTTATCTTCCTCGACACCCCTTTCTGCGCTAGCTCTCTCTCTCTCTGCTTTCCAAACACTCTGCTATGAGACCTCTTAGCCTCCTCTCCAGCATTCAGCCCTGGTGTTTGCTGGTCCTTTGCCAGGCTCTCAACCTGACCCATATGAAAGAACCATCGTTCTCCTGAGCCTTCACTGCAAAGCAACTGTGACCTTTTCCCGCTGGCTTGGAATCCTGAGAAAGGACTTCTCTGGCAATTCCCCTCCCCAAAGCAGTTTCAGCTCAGTTTTTTTTTAAATGGACCAACACATCTGCTTTTCATATGATTCCCTCCACCTCTGGGCTTGCTGCTGTCTTGACCATTGCACCATGGTTTCTCTGGGTACAAAGTGGTGATCTTTCCTGCATAAACAGATGGACCTTGATGGCATCTGGATAGTGAGGTCAGTGGTTAGCCATTTACTCAGCAGCGCACTAGGCAGGTGCAGGTGCCGGCCAAGGTTACTTGGTAGAATCATAGAATTTCAGAGTTGGAAGGGACCACGAGGGTCATATAGTCCAACCCCCTTTTTTGTGGGTTCGACCCCCTTTTTGCCCAATCTGGGGCTCGAACCTACGGCTCTGAAATTCAGAGTCTCGTGCTCTGCTGACTGAGCTATCCCAGCTAAGTAGAAAGCTAAGGTCTTTTGCATAGGCTTACAATACACTTTTGCATTTAGCTTGATATCTCATGTTTCAGGATGGGCATTGAAAATAGGCTCCTGGGCTGAGCCCTCCCTCAGATGGAGCCATGCACAAATCCAATTGCGGAGGGGGAGAGGAATTCACCAGCAAATCCTCCTGGTTTTTCTTTTATTTGTTTATTTGCTAACAAAATTGATATGTCCACTTGGGTGCAAAGTTGTCTGGGCCTCTAAGGCAAACATGCTTCCAAAATTCCAAACGGCTTATCTTCTCGTTTGACTCGCCACCCACACCCACTTCCTTACACGAGATTGATTTTGAGATTATTGTTTTTAAGGGATGTGGGGTGGGGGTAGGGGGTAGGGGGAGGAGAGAGGAAGATGTGAAGATACTGAATTTAAGAAACTGTTTGTAATCTGACCCTAGGCCTGCCTACCTGGGAGAAAAATCCCACTGAACACAAAGGGGCTTACTCCAAACCTTCAGCTTTTGTTTTTTTGTTTATTAAAGATTTTCTTGATTTACAAAAGTGTGTGCAATGTCTCTCTCTCGTATATATTTTTTCCCCATGTAACATTTTTACAAGTCAGTTTCATTTGTTGAGACATTGGGAAGAAAATGTCTCCTTAATCTGAAAAGAGTTGTGCAAAATCTCTAGCACATGACACGGGATCAGCCATTTTGGCATCCTCTTTGGAACCTTTGCCACAAACTCCCAATCCTACCTGCCCACCCTCCTTGGAACCTCTTCCCCCCCTCTCTGTTCAGTGCCTGCTAATATGCATCTTTTACAAGGCAACTTTCATCCGCAAAGGCCTTTTTATTGTGCTCACAGTAAGCTCACCACACGATTCTTAACGTTCCCATTTCACAGATGACGGAACTGAGACTGAGGGGCTTCTACGAGCCCAGAAGGCATGGGCCCAGGAGCCCAGAGGCGAGATTTGAATCTAGGCCTCTCCCACATTGAAATCCAGCTCTCTAGCTTCCCGGAACGTGAGTGCCACCCCACCCTCTTCCCTGTGAAGCTGAGACCTCATTGAGGAAATGACTCACCTTGATAAGTTTGCAGCGGATCTGGGCCGAGACCATGTGGCTGTTGCGCAGGTTCCCCACGCGGAACATGAGGCACAGCTTCCCGTCTCGCTTGGAGATGACCGCGGCACGGCTGAACATGAGGGTCTCGGCCCTTTTCTTGGGCTGGGACATCTTGATGAACATGCAGCCAATGAGGAAGGCATCTACGACGGATCCCAATAGCGACTGGAAGAGGAAGAGCACGATGCCCTCGGGGCAGCGCTCAGTGATGTAGCGGTGCCCATAGCCAATGGTGGCCTCTGTCTCGATGAAGAAGAGGAAGGCCGAGGGGAAGTTGTAGACGTTGGCCACACAGGGGTTGTGCCCTGGGCTGTGCCCATGGTGCATGTCCAGGTCTCCTCGCAAGTAGGCGATCCCCCACCACATGGAGGCCATCACCAGCCAGGCCACCGTGTAGGTCAACAGGAAGATGAGCAGGTTCCATCGCCACTTGAGGTCCACTAAGGTGGTGAAGAGGTCCGTCAAGTAGCGGCTGTTCTCGCTGCCCAGGTTCCCGTGCTGGACGTTGCAGCGGCCATTCTTGTCCACAAAGCGCTGGCGCTTCCGCCGCGCCGACGTGCCCACCACGGCCTGGTATTCATCTCCAAACTTCCTGCGCACCACTGACATTCTGGTGGTGAGGAGGAGAGCTTGCCCTGTAGGCTTGGCACGTCCTCCTCGCCTGCACTGGAGAGCAAAAATCGGACTAGACAGCCGTCTCCGCTGCACACCCAGGACTTCGGCTTGTCTCCTCTTTTCTGGATTATCTTCTCGGTTTGCTTGGTGCCGGCTTGCTCAGTGCATGGTCTGGGCTGAGCGCTGTGGCGGGTGAGGTTGGCAGATCTCTGGGCTGGTGTTGGCGGGGAACCCACTTCCCTTGAGCTGGTTCTGGACCTGTACGCCGTGCTGGGTAGCAGAAGCTGGACCTCGATGGCCAGACAAGAGAGCCCGAGTTGGGTTGGCTGCTTAGGTGGTCACTTTTGTATGCTTGTCATGACTGATGCCAGGATGCTGGCTGAGTTTGGGTGGTCCGTTTGCACGCTGGATGTGTGTGTGTGTGTGTTTCCTCGCTGGCTGCGGGTAGCAGCACCAAGGTCCGGGCTGGCAGGGCACTACTGATGGTCACCCCGGGGGTTTGGATGGGCACCGATTCTGCCCGCAGGAACCGATTCCGACTTCTGCAGACCTTTCTGCCGCTGCTGGCGAGGGTCCTCCGGGTCTCTCTTGGGGGATGATGAGAATTGGCCACACCACACGTGGCTTCACTGCCTTGGGTTGGGATGTGTGGTCCACACGGGCTGCCCTCGAGGGATCCGGAGCTGGATCCTTTGGTTTCAACCGGGAAAAGCAGCCCCGCCCCCCTGGAAGCGGGTCCCTGCCCCCGGGGGCCTGCGCCACGCTCCGGGAACCTGCCCCGTCGTCCCGCCACCTACCTCGGAGGGAACTCGCCACTCTCTTGGCAAAGGACGGAGCCTCCCCGACGCGTTGGGAGCGGCGTCTGCTTTTGCAGGAGCGGGTGGGCGAGCGCAGCGGGCTGCCTTCTTGGATCCCGCGGGCTTGAGCTGCCTGGGCAGCGGCGATCCGGAGGGATGGAGGAAAGGGAAGAAGGAGAAGAGGCTTTGCAGAGTCCTCTCTCTCTCTCTCTCTCTCTCTCTCTCTCTCTCTCTCTCTCTCTCTCTGCCACCCCCACCTTTTCTCTTTCTTCTCTCCAAGCTCCTTCCTCCAGCGCGCTGGGATCAGGGAACTTAAACCTCTGCGGAGGTCCTTAATTCTCCAGCGCATCCAGAAACTGGGCTGCTGTTGCTGCTGCGGCGGCGGCGGCGAGGGCGTGCAGGCGGGCTAGCAGCTCGGAGGCGGCTGCTCGGAGAAGTCCCAGCTTTTTGCTAAACGTGCAGGAAAGCGGAGCTGGCGGAGAGGGTGTCGCCGCGACGCCGCCTGGCGGCCGCCGGAGCCCCTACGGCATTCCTCTCTGCGCGCCTCTCCCTGAGGCTCCTGCGCGCAACTATCATCTCTCGCGTCTGCCCGCGTCCCGGTCTTTGCGGCGGCTCCCCGCGCCCCGCGAGCTGGGGAAAGGAGCCCCTCCGGACTGTGCCGGCAGCTGTCGCTGCAAGGAGCCGCCGGCTGAGCGCGGGAGGCGGGCGCTTGCAGCGGGGAGTGGTTCAAGTCCCGCGTAAGAAAGGGGTCAAGAGGAGTTGGAAGGAATTAATTCGGATTGGGGTCTCTCTCTCTCCCCTTCCCTCCTTTCCCCGCAGACGCAGAGCAGCGGAGACTGACGCTTGGGCTGGTGAGGTGAGAGGGGGCGGGACCCGGGGCTCCTCCCATTTCCTCCAGATCCCCACCCCAAAGGGGCTTCCCCCAAAAGAAGGAAAGATTGATGGGAGGTGGGGGTCGTGTCGGAGGATAAAGATGTCCAGGCTGAATGGGAGACCCAAGGGTCTCAGCCTCGCGAGGGAGTGCCTCTGAGCATGAGCAGAGTGACTTCCCTCATCGCTAGGCACCTCTAAGGGATTCTGGATCGAGTGGAAGGGCTCTTGCCCGAGGGCATCCGGGATAACCGCTTTGATGAAGCAAAGCGAGTCAGGGTCTGCTTCGTAAGGGGAGCAAGGGCCACCTGGCTGGGAGTCTCGTATGTAGAGCTGGAACGCGACTTTGCAGGTCTCCTCGTCCGCCCCTTTGCTCAGTGCAGGGTCTGCATGTAGGATACGTATTTGCAACTGGTCCTTGACAGACACCCATCCTGCTTAAAATAGCAAAGGAGAACCTCCCACCTCCTGTGGCAGGCAGTTCCGCTGTCAAACTGCTCTTACCATTAGGAATGTGTGTCACCTTGAGTTGGAAGACTCAGGGCTGGATATGTTGTTGTTGTTTAGTCGTTTAGTCGTGTCCGACTCTTCGTGACCCCATGGACCAGAGCACGCCAGGCACTCCTGTCTTTCACTGCCTCCCGCAGTTTGGTCAAACTCATGCTGGTAGCTTCGAGAACACTGTCCAACCATCTCATCCTCTGCTGTCCCCTTCTCCATGTGCCCTCAATCTTTCCCAACATCAGGGTCTTTTTCCAGGGAGTCTTCTCTTCTCATGAGGTGGCCAAAGTATTGGAGCCTCGGCTTCAGGATCTGTCCCTCCAGTGAGCACTCAGGGCTGATTTCCTTCAGAATGGATAGGTTTGATCTTCTTGCAGTCCATGGGACTCTCAAGAGTCTCCTCCAGCATCATAATTCAAAAGCATCAATTCTTCGGCGATCAGCCTTCTTTATGGTCCAGCTCTCACTTCCATACATCACTACTGGGAAAACCATAGCTGTAACTATACGGACCTATGTTGGCAAGGTCAGGGCTGGATATACAGTACTCTAAAAAAATAATACAGAAAGACTCTGGCATTCTGTTCCCAAAGGTGTTCTGGAAGCCCACAAACATGGGAAAAAATTGGCAGCTCTCTCTCACCATTTGTCCCCCAGCCACTTGTATTTTCCAGCATACTGCTTCTGAACATGCAGGTTCTATTTAGCCAGCATGCTCGGAAGTGGCTGGGGAATAGACTTCTCTTCCACCAGTTCCTCGAATCCCCTTTGAAACCACTCTTAAGCTGCTGGCTGTCGTCACATCCTGAGGCAATGAATTCCACAAGTTAACACTCTGGCGAAGAAGTGCTTTCTTTTGTAAATCAAACACATGAAATCAGGGTTTTCAAAGTGGCTTTGAACTCTGGTACATCTTTCTATAAAGACGGGGAGGGGGGGGAATAATTTATCATATTGATAGCTCACTTCCCTACTTTAAATCATGCCAACATAGAGCATTAGCCAGCTGATCTTTATGAAATCTTGCTTGGGGGGTGGGGGCCAGGGAAATGGTGCAAGTCCATTACAGTATTTATTGCAAGTTTACACCTCCCTTTTCCAGTTCTTAGAGATGGCTCCAGAGTGCTATTTTTATAAGTTAATTGTTAGTATCTTTGCTGCACTGTTCTGTTTTAAGAAATAAATGCACTGGATTCTGTAGCTCTTCCATTTTGGCTCATAAGAGTGAGCTTAGGTATTGCATGCAATGCAGGCATAACCTGGCCTTGTGCCATAAGGGTCTATTCTATCTCTGCAAATCCACGTGCCCAAACTCACACAGATAAGCTGAACATGGAAAGGCCATTTGCTGGGGAGAACTCACAGGCGAGCAGGTGTGGTTAGCACCCACACAGGCTCTCCAGTTCTCTTTTGCAAATACCCCTCCCAATGTCATTCCCAGTCTCCAGCCAGTTTAGGAACCTGTCTCTAAGGAAGAAATCGAAAGGGCATTTGCAGGGCGGAGGTTCGGCGTGGGTGGGAGGGGTTAAGCATTTGCATGGGAGAATCAGCAGGGGCGGGGAGGGGTTAAGCATCTTCTTTCTGTCTGATTCTGCAAGTTGGTGACCCCACATTTTCCTGGTAGCTGGTTGTTGTTCCCCCCAGCACACGCAATAGGCCAAAATGGAAAAGTCTGGACTTAATCAAGGAGGTAGGAAAGGGAACCGGTAGCACGAATTACTGTGGGAGACAAATGTTAGGCACCTGCTCTGCTTCCCCTCATTCGCTGTGATTCAGTGGATGTAAATTGCTTTGAGCGTTGTAAACAGAAGAGTGGCTCATCAGTGTTATGGCTACCTGAATAATAGGTGCACCCTGCTGTGTCTGTCTGGGCATATTGTCCCATTTTCATGCCTCCGTGACATAAGTGTGCAAGCTACACACACACACACACACACACACACACACATGCACTTTTGGGGTCGAAAGAGAGCTTACAGCCTTCAAGCCCATGAAACAACCTTGCTCAGAATCGAGCTATTATTCTGACGCTGTCTTTTGCTGTGACTTTAGTTATTTCTCTTGCCATATGTTGGGAGAGCAGGAAACACAGCCCCTCCTTTTGCTTGAGCCTAAAACTGTAAAATCAGATCTTAATTAATATTCAGTACTCCCCCCCCATTAAACCCCACACTCACCTCCCCAAAAATACAGTTCCTGATTGCCAGCCGGAGAGGTCCCTGGAGTGTGGAATCGGCTAGGATTCCCAGCGACTGTTTTCAATCTAATTTCTTTGCAAATCAAGCTGGTTCCTCTCTAGAGGGAACGCCGTAACGGCAAAGGATCAGATGAATTGTAAGGAACCAACATGCTGAGAACCGGAGGCTTTCTGCTGTCAAGCTCTCCGAAAAGTGCCTTGCCATTTGGGGACTCACGTCCCTTTTTGTGGAGTGCTCAATTCAAACCAGAGCACTTTCTGGAGCCAGAAGTGTGGGGCAGAAGTTAGACAAAGGAGATGCACATCTCATTAGAGCCGAGTTGCACTGTGGCTTCCACCTACGGTTATCCTTTGTGCTCTTCCGCGCGCTCAATTACTTGGCGCCAACATCTGTCAATTTCCTAATCAGAAGAACAGATTGGATACAGGTGACAAGGCTGCAAAGCTCGTTCCTGTCTCCGCTCTTCATCTGCCCTCTGCCACCTTTCCATTTTAGCTTGTGGGGAGCATTTTTTTGCTTCCTGTCAACACCTGTTCTTATCTGCCCCTTTGAGCATCTCGCCCTGATTTGCACCAGAGTTTTCTGGATCGAAATCAAGGAAAGCAAAAGCAAGGGGCCTCAAGCTTGCCAGGAATTATGTTGGTTTGGGCAGCCTTTATGTTAGAGGGGGCAGAACATCAGTTATGTACAGTGGTACCTTGGTTCTCAAACACCTTGGTACTCAAACACCTTGGTACTCAAACACCTTGGTTCCCAAACACCTTGGTTCTCAAATGCCAAAAACCCAGAAGTAAGTGTTCTGGTTTTCGAATGTTTTACGGAAGCCTAACATCTGATGTGGCTGTCAGCTATTGTTTCCAGGGTGCCTGCACAAATCAGAAGCCGTGTCTTGGTTTTCAAACATTTCAGAACCGAGTTCAACTGCTGATTGATTGATTGATTGATTGATTGTGTGATTGTGGAAATGGATAAAAGCCCCCCATCCAAACAATGACTATCATCAGTGCAGGTAAGGAAAAAAAATACTTTTAATTTTTATCATCTACAATACTGTCTCATTTATTTTATTGATTATTGCTTTCATTTGATGGATCAGTGGTCTCGTTAGATAGTAAAATTCATGTTAAGTTGCTGTTTCAGGGGTTGTTTTTAAAAGTCTGGAACGGATTAATCTGTTTTGCATTACTTTCTATGGGAAAGCATGCCTTGGTTTTGGAACGCTTTGGTTTTGGAACAGACTTCCGGAACAGATTAAGTTTGAGAACCAAGGTACCACTGTATATATATTTTATAATAATCTTTATTAGTTTTCAGTTACAATCCAATAAAAGCCTCTTTATAACAATACCAATTTATAATACAATTATTAATACCAATCGTTCAAATACCAAATTATATAATTTAGATAAAGTGCCCCCCCGTGTGCTAGAATTGATGGTTTGACAGTTTTCTTTATTTCTGCATTCCAAAATCTTATTAATTTAAATTACATTCATAATAATAATCCCTTATACAACAACTGCAATATTAATAACTTCTATTCGTGTTGACACATTAAATAGTTAAGTATTTTTATTAATTTACTTGATTGGAGGGGTGGACCCATTAAATTAAGACTTGACTTTCTCTGTGTTGGAAAGGAACATGTTTTAAATTGTGAGTCACTGTTCAATGCAATTCAGCGGGATGCCAATGTACCTGCTTAAAGAGGAAGGAAGAAGGGAAATTAAGGCTTTCTAGCCTAGATCAATTCTCTGATGAGAATTGGAAAGAAATAAACCAAGAGCACATCGTATAGAGCTGAACATCATGTCC